TGCAATAAAAAATCATTTCATTAAAGATAAAATTGATTTTTTTTACAAAAAACTCAAATGAGCCATTTGAGCCGGCTATTTTGAAAAATTCCCCCCAGTAAATATAACCCACCAAAATACATGTGAGCTTAAAATTTCATTTTTCTCCTTTCTCCTGTCTACAAATAACTGCCACTGCCATAGAACAGAGATTCTCAAAATTTAAACTCTAGGGTTTCAGAAATTGTTCCAGCAGAAAAGCTTCAATGAGCGACTCAAGAGAAGATTCTCCTGACTGGTTACGCTCTTTCCAGGTGCTTTTACTCGTATTTATCTCATATTTAATCAGATTTTAGTTAATTAGGTGCAAGTTATGCTATGTGAGTTGTGATTCCATTTTCATTTTTATTTATCAATTAACGCAATGTCCTGTGCAAGAGCTTAATTTTTAGTTAATTAGAGTCAACCGTAGCATTAATTGAGAAATGCAAAGCCCGGTAGTAGATTAATAATTTATTGTATTTTCTTTGCAATTTCATGTAATTTGACGGTGCTTAAAAAACTATGAGTGAAGTTTCTAAAGTATATTGAGTTTAGTTAGACTGGATTGATGAAACTTTTGCATGGGAGATGATTATTAGAATTTGAGTTGTTGAATAGGCACCGGCAGGGTCAGCTATTGCATTGTCATCCGGGTCAGAATCGCCCCTATCTGACAGTCCACAAAGAAACGAAGAGGATGAGATCATTCTCAGTAAATTGTTTAAGAAAGAAGCTGGGCAGGTTCCACAGATTAAAGATACTGACGAAGAGTATCAGATTAGTGAGCCTGTCAAAGTGAAGTCTCCAAACAAAAACGAGAAAACAAAGCTGACACCAGGAAAGAAGAGAAGAAGAAAAGATGACACTGAGATACAAGGTGGTTCTTATGTTTTTTTGAAGGATCTATGCATTCATCTATATAGAATTGAGGATTTATCTTTTCCCCCAAAAGATGGTAGGAAATTAATGACAAAGAATTGATTTAGGAGATTACTTGATTGTCTGAAGTTAAAAAAGAATTAAATGAAACTAATTTCTTTTATGATTATGCAGGAAAAGCATCTAAGAGGAAAACATATGAAAAGCCTGTCCACCCTCAGGTAAGAAGCTTCTCTTGTACTCCCTTTTTTTACTAAACTTACTAGATCACTAGGTAAATATATACTTTGAAGATCGAGCCCATTTCAAGTCTCATCCTCACTTGCTCATCTGAAATTTTCCGGTTTATCCATATACCTTATAGGATCATTATCTGTGGAACTTGTGAGTGTATTATTTGTACTTTTCCCTCGTATAATGTCTAAATGAATGTCAAAAGGGGTATATTTGCTCATGGAAAGCCTTAATTGGTGAAGATACGAGGAATCATTTTGTTTCCTGGCTATATTATAGATAAAAACTTAATAGACTTTTTAAGGAGATCTTGTTTTCCGGGTTCTTTTCTGAGGTATGGGGATGGTAAATATATTCCCGGGGTCACAACTTGAGAGGCAGATGCAGAAGATGGTTAATTGAATTCAATTTAGAAGAATATAAGTTTGAAGTTCGTAAGCCAATGATTACTCTTCCAAAGAAATCAAATAAGTTTCTCTCTCTCTCTCTCTCTCTCTCTCTCTCTCTCTCTCTCTCTCTCTCTCTCTCTCCTTCTTCCTTCCTTGTGGTTTATAAGCCACTGGTTCTTATGGCATTATATTCATTTTGAAGTGTGTATTGATCATTCTCTGGTTACAAATGACAGCCATGAAACATTAGAACAAAGGCTATTCCCTAATAATCTTGCTCAATAGCTTAACAAAACTGGTCATAACACTTAGTTTGCGTTGGAATTTTTGTTTCCAAAAATGACACTGTTTAGCAGTGGAACTTTAGAGAGTCTTTTACAATGCTGTTTACGACCTTAATGCAAGAGCTGAGCTAGATCATCTTTCACCTCCAGAAAGGAGGAGCTAATTGCAATGATATGAATTGAGGCTTGAAGAGATAGCCATTCTCCTTGGAAAATGTGTATGATACAAGGATTTAACATGTAATAGATAGTACTTGCAGAACTCCCAGGCTCTATGTTTTAACCACCTGTCATAGTGATTCCTTGATGTTTTAAGAATCCTGAATTAATGATCCAAAATGTTGTGATTTGATTTCTGATTATTACAATATCAGAACTTTGTCTACTAGTAATCCACATCAATTTCAGAAGGTTACTGATTGTAACAGAGGAACTATTTACTTTGTTGTCTGCTCTAATGCCCATTGCGAATGTGTGTTTTGAATCAGGAACAAAAGCATTCCATTTTGACATTGTCCTCAGATTCAGAGTCTTCTCAAGATACCAGCCCCATTAGAACGGAAGATAAACAAATGTCTGCCCATGATGAGGGCCCATGTACAGACAATAAAATAGATCATGATGATATTGTTCTTGATAATGATGGAAAATCTCCAATTAATGATGCCTCCAAGGTAAAATCTCCAAGAAAACAGTTGAGAAAAGAGGATGCCAAATCCTTAAAGAAGAAAAACACAAATGGGTATATAGGTGGAGGTAAGTAGATCGTTTTTGGATCTTGGTGTTTCCACAAGGATTCTGAATCTCTATTGGAACATTTATATGCATCTCGTTAGACTTGATAAAATTAATTTTTCCATCTTAAAACCATACTTTTTCTTTTATAATCCAGAGAATTGTGGCGACGTCGATGTTGTGAAGGAAGATATCTCCGAGAAGCATCCTGAACCTCAGGTGAGAAGCTTTAGTTGCTAATCAAAGCTTCCATATACTCTGGTTTATAAAATGCTTGTGATATACAGATGCAGGTCTCCTCTTCAAGGTTGCCTTTGGTGCTTTCAGAGAAAGTACAACGTTCAAAGGTAAACCTACCATGCCTAGATATCATATTCATCAGATAACTCTTTTATTGTTGTATTTTGCTCCTTTTCTGAAGTCGCAAAATTAGTGCTGGCCTCATATGAATCACTTGTAAAACCTTACATTGGCTCCCTCTCTATTATTAGTGAGGACTTAAAAGACATTGTCCTTTGGTGAGGTTGTGGTCCACCCTCTTTGCCTCACCATTGTTTAAGTGGAGCTGAACCTAATGATTACTTCTCATTTTGCATATGAAATACATATGAACCGGTCTTTCTTTTGAGCCAAATCAAGTGTGTTACATGCACTAAATTATGATAGATATAATGTCTGTTATTGTTAATTTTTCATATTTTTACTGACTATTTGTCAAGGAGCCTTCTTCATTATCTTTTCCTGTATATGTCGTTATTCAAGGCAATGAGGGACTAATAGAACAACACTTTGTAGTCACTTCTGGACTTTCTTCTTTTGTTCTGCAGGCACTTATTGAGTGTGAAGGCGACTCCATAGATTTGAGTGGGGATGTGGGGGCTGTTGGACGGATAGTTATTCCAGATGCTCCTTCCACGGACCATGAAATGTTAATGGATTTGAAAGGCATGCATGACTCCCAGTTTTATGCTTATTTGTTGTGTTGTTCTCTTTGAGCAGCAATCTTAATACTGTGAAACCAATCTCATAATCACAAAAATACCCAACTTCTAGGGTAGTCAATGAACAGGCTTTTGTGATTGAAGTAACTGGTTACTAAAAATTAAGGGACGGACAATACATATTTTTATATTTTCGTATTCTTCTATTTCCAAAAGCACAGAAGAGAGTCGGGTAGAATCGGGTATTTACTCTGAAACTTCTGTAGTTGGATACTTTATCAGGTAATATGTTATGCAGGCTTCACTTCCTGTTTATCTGATTTTGTCAAACTAATTTATGTTTCAGGAACCATATACAAAACAAGTATAGTTCCATCAAGGACATTCTGTGTGGTATTTCACGACACCCTCCCACTCTCTTTCTCTCTCTCTCTTGCATCACTCACTGGTTTATGTAATTTGGTTATTGTTCAGGTAAGCTTTGGCCAATCAGAAGCAAAGGTTTGTCCATTTATTGTACTTTTGGTTGTTGTTTCTGCTCATCTTATTTTTCTCCTTTATGCCCATACCCCCTCTACCCTAAAACTCATTCTCCCACCAGCACAAGAAGTAATATTATGTTTGTTTTAATACTCATTTCCTTTTCCAGGATGCCCAAAATGAGAAGGAAAATGTGGACGGGCAATAATTAGTATGGTTAATTGACTTGTGCTTTTTATGAATTGTGACCAGATAGAGGCTATCATGAATGACTTTATTCAGTTGAAACCACAATCTAATGTTTATGAGGCTGAAACCATGGTTGAAGGTAAAATTTTCATTTTGTGTTCTGGTTATAGCATATATATTCGAACTCTGATTTTTATATTTCATTTTATTATTGAAAAGAGGTACAGGCTTTTCTTTGAGTTAGTTTCTTCTGCATGAGTAGGGACACTAGATGGATTTTCATTTGATTCAGAAGACGAGGCTGACAATCTTCCCAAAGCTACTGCTCATGCGGATCAACATGATGCTGCTGAGGAACAACCAAGAGGAAGAGCCAAAAGAAAAACCGAGAAAACATCAGTATGCAGTGTTTTTGTTATTCAACTATCATGAAGCTTATATTGCAATTAAATATGTCATCTAACTGATGGAAGTTTGGGTTCAGGGGACAGCACCAAAGAAGGGTAAAGCTGCAGGAGGAAAGCCACCTAAGAAAGTAAAAAGGAAACCTCAAGTTTCAAAGAAAAGCAAAGCGAAGAAATGAGAGACAATTGTCTACCAAAATATTTTCTTGTACTCGAGTCCTTTTCTTATTTTCTTCTTTCTCCTATAGCATATGCACTTTTCACAAATTTATGAAGATACCAACAATTCTAACTGTCGACAGGTTAGATCAGTAGAGCCTATACTATTTGCATTTCCTGTAAAATTTAACTTTAGTGAAACAGAGACCATTAGCGTTTCTGACTCCCTTTATCTTGAAATAAGTTATAAATCCCAATTGCATCTCTTCATTTCAATTCTTTGAATTTGTCCAGTGGTTGATGACAAAAAGCTTGTGTACCTTCTGTTTTCTTTTCTTTTCTTTCAGTAAGCAATTGCGGGAAATTAATTCGCTTGGCCAGTGCTTTATATCTCAAATTTTTATGGTGATGCTTTCATATCATGTGGAATTGTAATGGTCAACGATGACAGCTTAACGTTTATTGCAAGGACTAAATTGTTAAATAAATCAAACACATCAAGCCATACATCATTTCAGGTCACACAGTTGGGCTTATATTCTTTATACAGAATTAATGTGTCTTGCACTTAGTTCTTGATACCGGATCATCACACTTCGTCCTGCTGCTGCTCTTGATCCCTTTAGTTCCCCTGGTCTAATGCATAACTATTTCTTACTGTGCTTTACAAGATAACAGATTGTTGACGTATCTGTTATGTCTAGAAATATGTAGTGAGGATGAGAAGAAATAGTGAGATTGGGAAAGGTAGGAATAGCTGAAGATGAAACTGTCCCTGCAGTTTTTCTACTGCGGTTAAAGCTTTTATAGAAGAGCTTCCTTCTACTGACAAAAATGGACATACAACTTTTAAAAAGTGTGTAGGACTTTGGTACAATTATTATACAAGTGGACATAAAGCATATAGTACTACAGTACTCTGGTACAATTATTACACAAACGGATTACATCTTTTGATAAAGTAAAATCTACTTTTAATAAAGTAAATAGTACTTTATCAATTAAGACAACTCATACAAAGTGACAAATGTTTTAGATCTTGGCGATTTTTGTGTCATGGAGTGCTCAGATTTGCTGCCATAGCTGATTCGTTCGAATCTTCAGAGTCTGATGGTAATCCTAGTGTTTTCTACCATGGCATGCTTTTTTTTTCTCCTTTTCCTTTTCTTTTTCAATTTGTTGTTGGATCTTTTCAAGGTTGTTAGGATCGAAATGGTCAAAAGAGTAATCCTATGGATCCTGGGACTCTTCGAATTGAGATATCATAGATTTTGGCTGGCTTGTTGGTGCTTGTTGGCTTGAACTTGTTCCTTCTTGTAGCACTTTCTCTTTTCCCTTTTTCCTTGTGAGATGTGAGTTTTTTCATTCTATGTGAAGAAGTAAGAACATTTTCATTTAACATTTTCCAAAGTTTTTCTCTGAGTTGTTGTCCTTCGGGAGTATTTTCTGAGTACTTGGCCGTCTGTCTCAAGCTCTGTGTTGGTTGTCCCAAATACAATTGATTCCAACATTTGTCAAAATAATAATCTTCAGGTAGAATGATTGGATACCAGTTGTGAATTTAGCTTAAGCTCTCCATATGAGTCTGAATGTCCTGTTGAATCCTTTGAGCATAGTCAATTGGAAGAGTTTCCCATGGAGTGTCATCTTAAATATTAGACCAAATTTCTGGAGGAATTGTTTTGTTAATTTCTGCCATTTTCCTCTGGAATGTTCTGAATTCTTGAGGATATCTTTCCAATTCTTTGTGAAGATTGAACGACTGGACTGCAAATTCCCGAACATGAGAGAAATGTTCATAGTATCCTGATTCAGTAAAATAACCCTGTCTTTGGAACACTAGGATCACATGAATATTAGTAGATGAAGTTCTAAGATCTTTGAATTTTAAATAAAAATTTCGAAATTTATCTCTTCAGTGAGAGAATGGATAAAACCATTCAAAAAATCTTGTAACTTCATTGTTGAAGTGAGGAGAGTATTCTGGGTAATCTTTCCAAATTTGTGAAGTTCTTTCTGAAAGCCAAGAAACCATGGTATCAGCATTAAAACTAATTGCAATTTGATGTATTTCAAGAAGATACCACATAAAACACAAAAGTTCTTTTGAAAATTTTTCTTCGATTAAATCTGGGTTAAAGAAAAAGAGGTTTAAAAATGATATTCTGGATGAAAATCAAGCCCCTCGAGAAGGTGAATCCCATTTTGCCTAATAACAATAGACTGATATTTTAGTATGACTTCGTTTGATCTTGAGTGGAGGGTTCGATTTCTGATGAGTGTTTGAAGTTCAAGAGGGAAGTCTTGAATGAGAGGATTTTGTGCGGATGGGTCCATCATACAGATGGTAGGGATCTGTAATTGAGCAGAAGGTTTTGTTCTAGAGAGCAAATCGAGTATGAGGTTGTGTTTGCCTTTAATGTGTTTGACTTCAAAGTCAAAATTGGAAAACCATTCCGCCCATCTTAAGAGTTGCGATTTTGGAATCTGTTTCTTTTTGAAATTCAACATTTGGGGAAATGCCTTCATGTCCATTCAACTAGAAACTTGTGACCAATAAGGTGGAACTGAAAATCTTCAATTCTTCGTTTCACTGCAAGAATCTCCTTGAATGTCGAATGATAATGTTTCTCAGATTATTTGAATATGCCACTCTTATAGCTACAGATTTTCCTTTCTCCATTTTTTTTCTTCCAGCAACACTGCTCCCTAGTTCAAATCACTTGCATCTATTTGTAGAATTCTTTTCCCGTCAGGGGATATTTTTAGTGCTAGAAGGTTATGGACTTCTTGCTTGATCCTTTTGATAGCCTGGGTTTGTTTGGATGACCACTGTGCAGAATTTTTCTTAAGCATGTCATGTAAAGGTCGTACAACAGGAGCCAGTTGTTTGAAGAAATCATTCGTGTAGTTTATCACGCCAAGAAATTGTTGAATCTGTTGTTTTGTCAGATTTTCATCAGGAAACTTGAGGAGTTCCTGAGCAATATGTGGTTGGAGTGAATAGCTTCCATTTTTATATGCATCCCAAGAAAATCAATTTCGGATACGGCAACGATAATTTTTTTCTATGACAACATGATCCCATATTCTATGACAATTTACGTGAACTTCTGGAGCAGCAACTCAGGGATATTCTCATTCTCAGAGAACTACATGATATCATCAATATAAATTAATGCTATTTTTAGTAGTGGCTAGAAAATCTTAACCATCACCTTCTGAAATAAAGAGGGTACAATCTTAAGACCAAAATGCATGACTGTCCACTAAAAATGTTGATTGAGTATGCAGAATGTTGTTTGTGCCTTTCTTCTGGTTTGACTCCCAATTGCCAGAAACTTGCCTTCATATCAAACTTAGAAAATACTTTTGCCTTTGCCAGATTTGAAACATTGTCTTCCTATTAGGGAGATGGAACTTATCATTCGCAAGAAAATGATTTAGCGGTTTATAATCAATGACAAGTCTCAACTTCCCTCTGATTTGTTCACTTCTTTTGTTAACATAAAATGCTTGGCACGCCATTGAGATGTAGTAGGCTTTATGAGTCATTCTGACTATAATTGTGTTAACTCCTTTGTGGCAAGTTCCAAATGTTCAGGACTCATACCCATGTGATTTGCTTTTGTTGGATTGACATTCTTATTCTTTTTGAAGGGTAGTGTTATAAAGAAGTCTAGGTTTTTCCAAAAGGGCTTTGTGCATTTGGTAAGGAATTCTCTGTGAGATTCTATACAACAATCTCTTATAAGGATCTCTGTTATGATTGGGATCGTAAGGATAAAATATGTTATAGGTTCAATGTAAGGGAGGAAATAAGATTTAAATCTGAGTCCATTTGGAAGAGATCTAACTCGTTTTTCCCATAACTGTTTGATAATATCAAAACCAATGGAAAGATCTTTTCCTGGTAGTGATGATCCTAGTAGTTTATGGGAAATGTTGAGTTTGGGGAAGAATTGAAGTGTTACTGGTTTACTAATAAGTTCTATGGCAAAGTATTCATTATTGGCTGCTTGAAAGATTTTTTTTTGTAGGGTTTCCACATGTTTTCAGGAGTACGGTTGGGTTAAGAATTGAGGATGCCGCTCCTGTATCAAATAATGTTGCCACCGTGATGGGTTTTTCATACTTTCTTGGAAGGAGTTTTATTTCAATCATTGGTACTGCCAAGGAAAGATTTATGACCTACATCCCAAAGCATTCTTGCATACTTTCACTTCCATTGTCACTGATGTTGTTATCGTCATGGTATTCAAGGGCGAAGATATTCTCTGATGATTGTTGTTCTTCCTCTGAAAACAATGACTCCAAATCTTCTTCATCAAGATCAATTTGAACTGTTGAAAAAATCTGGTTGAGAATTTTGTCTTTTCTTTTGCTAGGGCAATTTTTTGTACAATGACCATTTTTGTGACAAATAAAGCACATGTTCCCCTTGTTGCGTGAAAACTTTTTTCTGAAGAATCTCCTTTTAGGGGAAAACTTGGAAAAGTTTTTTCTTTTAAAAGTTTTGCTCCTGAATTTTCTGGGTTTTGAGCATCCGCATTCTCTTTCAACCTGTCTACATTTGATCTTTAAATTTGGTCGATCACATGCTCTACCAAATTGTTTTCCCTTTAAGTTAAAATCTCTGAAGAATTCCCTTTGGTTGCAGAGTTTTTTTAAGGTCTTCAATACCGAATTATGAAGCTCTCCGATAGATGTTTGAGATAACGCCTGTCCTTTTAGCTCTATCATTCTTTGACCAAGAAGTTGTGGAAGGGATTCCAGGTATGCTTGCTTGAGATTAGAATCACCAATTCCTCAAAGAATATAATATCGTTTCATGATTTTCTTAAAGTGTTTGTCCAAATCTTTTGGCTTTTAGGAACAAAACTTTAATTAGAAGAATTCCTCACGAGCCTTTTCCTTTGCATGATCTGGCCTTCCACAAGATTTCCAATGTAGATTATCAAAGAAATTGTCAAGATCTTGAGTATTCGCCCATTGTCGTTGTCTATAACTCCCAAGGGAT